TAACCATGGCCGTAAACTAATTGATATTGCAATGCATACATCTGTACTTCCGTTTGGGTCAAAGGTTATTGTCACGAGGTTATCCTCAACAAAATATACTCGGATCGATCCCATCCATACCCACATTTTTATTCACCAAGAACTAGGTGTTTCACTCGTATTGTCAAGACCTAACGGTTCCACCGTACGTGTGTATTGTTATATTTTCCGCGGGGTCTTTGGTCTTATCCAGCGGGGTTAGGTGTACACAAGCCGTTAAATATTACGAGACTGAAGAAACATCCGTGACTCAAGCATCGGAAAATTGTAATGATTCACGAGACACCTGCGGCGAAGGGATTGGTTACACCGGTACAGCATAACAATTATCAGCTGTTTCCACGAAGGTGTACCTGAGTGATACCGATTCAGTGGAGAGGGATTATTCACGCTGATTATTCGTGCTGAGATTTCCAAAACAGAGGGCATTGTTCGTCGAATTGTGGAGATAATTGAAATGGAAATAATTTCCTCTTTCGAACAGGGGTTCTATTCAAACATTCAACTCCTTTTATCTGATGAATAACTTCACTCGAGATTGACAGAGTGACATTTCATCATTTCTGTACAATTTCTGAGTGAGTTGAACAAAATAAAATTTTTCCGCATTCTCCGTCAAGTCGGGGAAATAGTGGAAACGGAAATGATTTCCTTTATCGAGTACTACAAACGAGAGTTCTATTCAAGCATTCTCCACCCTTTTTATCCATGAATTTACTGAAAAAGTCAAGGAGGATGAACTGATCTCCCACCGTCAACTCAAAAGTATCAGTTTCGCCATATCAACAGCTCTCTTTGTCCCCGAAATGTGTGCACAACCAATGGATTCAGCTTTGTTTACTCGAATCACACTGACATTTAAGGGATGCCACATTGTGGCTGCACAACCCCTCCATTGTGTACCATAGATTATCATTCACCCGGATAAACTTGAGCCCCGGGGTGCAATATAAACTTCCATTTGACAACCGAGGTAATTTAGAATCACCACCCTAAGCCTCGAGAGAGGGAGAATTTGGTTTGAGTTTCAATGACGCAATTGTCCTCAACTTTGATTCGGGCAGATGGGTTTATTGACTTTCCAAACGAATGTAACGAAATATCCCGAGGGGTTATCAATTTTTTTTCGGATCGTCTCAACAGATTAGATTTTTTGTGCTTGTCGTATTTTTTATACTCTCAACATCTGCCGAGTTTTAGGGATTTTATCGTAGATTGGACTCGAGGGAGATGCGGAGATGCCGAGCAATTTAATGTTTTAGAATATGCAAGGGCCATTTTCATCAAGACCCATTTGTCGCTGTGCACGATGACACCAGAGGGGTCACAGGCCACATTATGTTACATCCTGTCGTCGATTCCCCCCGTATTGCAGATTATATTCATATGTGAGGTCTCATTTGCTGCAGCGTCTCTCAACCGCGGTTAGCCACATGTGTTTATGTAGTTTTGAGACTGAGGGAATAAAAATGAAAGTGATTGCTGTGAGGAGCTCGTTTATGCCTTTACGGTTGTTACACGGGGCGTTGGGATCGTTAATTATCACATATTATCGCTGAGATGGTGGGGAAAATGAGGTGTTTAGCGGACATTGAGTGGTGATAATTAGCTGTTGGGTAAGATTTTTTTGTTTTTGGATTTTTAATGACAGGATGTGCAATAATAGGCGGGTGATTTTCAGGAGAGTGATATTGAGGGCGATTTGGGGAGAACAAGTCGTGGAATTTCACGGGAAATTTCATGACATTGGGAATTTTTGAGCTGCAAGAGCGAACATTTCAAAACTTACTTGAATTTTCAGTAAAAACGTAAACATTGAGTACCAAATTACTCAGAATTTTCCTGATTTCCACATACTTTTGAGAGTTCTGAATAGCCCGTCGCTTGAATAATAGGAATCAACGTTCAGCCGGCTAAAAAATTCGATTTTGGCGAAAGTCGACTTTCTCCCTGGAAAAACGGAAAATCTGACCCTTTAAAAATCTGGAAAAAAACGGTTTCTCAGTTTTCACTTTTTCCACATACTTTTGAGAGTTCTGAATAGCCCGTCGCTTGAATAATAGGAATCAACGTTCAGCCGGCTAAAAAATTCGATTTTAGCAAAAGTCGACTTTCCCCCTGGAAAAATCCAAGATCCGACACTTTGGCCCCCGGTGAAAAAAATTTTTTTCAGTTTTCACTTTTTCGGTTCGGTTTCAGTCTTACGCTTACGCTTATTCGAGATTTTCGAGAGATTTCGAGATCGATTGCTTTTCTCCTTTTTACGATAGGAATGAATTAATCATTCATTTAATTTCATTATAAGATTTTCATTAAGATAAACATACGAATTTATTAATCTCCAACAAAAATATTGTTGAAATAAGTAATGTCACCAGGGAAATGTCTTCGTTATTCCCCCCACCTGTGCATTATTTATTATCAATTTGAATAACGTGAATGTAAAAGAGAAAAAAAATTATCCATTTTCAATGTCATCAACTTGTCAACCAGAGACGGAAAAATCCCCCGGCGTGTTCTTAAAATAAGATTTTTCTGTCTCCACACCGTCACTTTGAGATTGAGAATATGTCAGAGTGATTACTCACTCAATGTTCGATAAGACACTCGGTCTTCTCTCGCCCATTTGAAGAGCAACATAAAAGCTACTGGATGAAGCACAACCGGATGTTGAACAAGATATACCCGGGTGTCTGGGGACTCCTCCATGCGTACACACCGCCCGGATATGAGGCGTGGAGCATCGAAATATCGTCAACTGCATTTGTGTGGTCGGCGCTAGCCTCATGGCACCCACGTGTGTGGTAGGCGCACAGTGACGAAGGGATTGGAGAGTCAACGATCGGTTGTAGTTCATTCAACAATATGACAACATGCTGAGCAAGAGGGAAATTGGATGTTTACTTTTGGGAAACTAAAACCGGCCAAACACATTTTTCAGGGGTCTTTTCGGAATTTAAAGTAGTATGAATAAACGCCAGTTGAGCCGTTGATTCTTGTAACGAGTAAGAATAAATTCAGTATCGAAGTGGTAAAAGGAGATAAGTCAATTTTGACTATTGATCAGTTTTTAATCAATATCGAGAAATCTAAGGGAGATAGCACAATTTTTCTTAGAATCTTTTTCGTGGAGCTGATTGAGTGCTATCACACTACACTGATATAATGATTCACTTATTTCAAACGAGATTCGTCTACTATTATTATTATTATTATTATTATTATTATTATTTGTATTTTTTGTATATAGCGAAGTGATAGTTTCAAATGCTTTAAAAAAATATTATAAATATAATATAATAATATTTAAATAAAAAATATTTAATAATGTGGAACTGTAAATTGTCTATTAAGTAAATTGATCCAACGCGACAAGAGATCTCCCCAGGAAAGCGTAATTTTTCGGCAGAACTAATTTTCTCTCTCAGTGTATAGAATTTTCATTGTAATTTTCATAAATTGATAGAAGTGAATAAAAATTCTGAGAAACCTCTAAAAATCATGTGAACCCCTGAATAAAAACGTGAATATTCCAAGATAATGACGATTAATCTCTTAGATAACCAAAAGCTCAAGCAAATTTCGCGAAAAACGAATTGAGACACATTTACGTCGGTGCATACCTATAGAAGGAGAATCTCAAATTTGCTGAGGCGACTCCGCGAGCTGAATATCAATCAAGACGCAATAATTATCGAGGCTCAAAAGCACCAGGCCGAGGCATTTCGGTGAATTAAAAAAAAATGCTAATGAATAAAACCGCAGGACCACTCTCGTCGAAATATACATCTTTTTTTCACGATTTTTTCTTTCCCCCAACATTAACGTAATACTCAGTCCCATCGATCGTGTGTCGGATGAAATTTGTAATTAAAACGAAGTTATTACATGCCAGCGCACACCTGACGAACATATTCCGCAGCGCCTTTTGCATTATCTCCTTTTATTTTTTTACGATTCGGTTATTTCGTGAAATTGTTTGTGTTCGGTTCATTTAACTCCGTTTTGATGTGTTTCTGATGATTTTATTGGTACAATTTCTCTTTATACTGGGGGGCTTATTCATACTAACGAGCGGACTAAAACAGTCGGACGCCGGCTATTAATTATTTTGGAGACGACGGGTGGATACGTCTCGACTTCGTCGCGGTGGTATCAAAACATATCTTTTGAAATGGCGGAGGAATAAAGAGTTTGACCTACCGGTAGTGGTCATACTGGTGTACACTGTTGAAATTTTTTGAAATTTCATGGAAGTTATTACAGTAAATCTCATGAGAGTGACGTTGAATCGGATTTGGGGAAAAAATGGTTATGAAATTTCAAGTTTTAAGGAGAATTCACGGAAATCCATGAGTTTTCAGTGCGAGTGAGATGGAAATTTCACAATTTGATTGAATTTTTAGTGAAACATGAATATTTAGAAACAAAATAACATGAATTTTCAATGTTTCCGAGTGGTGAAAAAGAATGAGGTGAGGCGGCGCTGTTTTCCCCTAGCGGCCTGAACACTTGATGTTGAAATTGTTTGAAATTGCGGAACCCTTATTTTGTTAGGCATGAATAAATTTGTTACGATTCCGAACGAATGATTTTTATATCGGAAAATTTATTCTTTATAAATTATTTATAGAAAATGCTCGTAATTTTCAAAAATGGCCTTTTTTAATTATTTCACCAATCTTGCTCCAAAAGTAAACTTTCTCAATTTTCCTCAGATTTAAAAAATGTTTTATAACGGTTTAATATCGAGACTCAAATTCAGACCTGCAAAGTTTAAATAATAAAATCATTGTAAAATGTCCGAAAGGATAGGGTCAAAGTGGCTAAAATGAAAGCTCCAATGTTTGACTGCGAAAGTAGAAGAGCATTGCACTGGAGAAAAAATAGCCAAAGTAATTCATAACTTTGATGATTTCATCCCCCCCAAAACTGACGTTCTTTCAATTGAATTGTTTCAGCACGCCAACAACGTCCGCCGCGCAGCATCGGATTACGTAGCGCGCCGCCAGGCGCGCAAAATAATGACTCGCTCAATAACATCGTCATTGGCCGTACCGATGAGCCATCTGAGCGATGTGGCCTTCCTGCCGAACGCCAAGGCCGGCACTTTCTTCGCCCGTGACAACGTGTCAAATTTTATAAGCTGGTGTCGCAACAGTCTCGGTATCATCGACTGTCTACTGTTTGAGAGCGACGACCTCATAATGCGTAAAAATGAGAGACACGTGATACTTTGCCTCCTCGAGGTCGCAAGACGCGGCGCCAAGTTCGGCATGCTCGCCCCCATGCTTGTGCAGATGGAGAGACAGATTGACAGGGAAATTGCTGCTGAGAATAAAGCGTCCAATGGTGATGGCAATGAAGAGAGTGACGATGAGTATGGGGAAATGCAACAGGATGAACCGTGTCTTATCTACGGGCCACAGCCACAGATTGTCACCAATGACCTCAAGAGCCTCGACGAAATGGTGAGTTCATTTACTGTTTTTTTCCGCCTTCATCATATTATAGTTCCACTGAAATTCCGAGGAATTTCGTCATTGCAAATTCAAAATTTCATTCAAAAATCAATGGAAATTGTAAATTTCAGCTCAATTAGTCCATGAAAAAAAAATTATAAAAATCACAATAACTGAAGAAATTTACAGAAATATATCCTGAGACCATTTCGCTTCAACCCCACTCTGCATCAAGACACCTCCCCCCATCAAAAAAACACTCAATTCCGGCACAAAAATTCAAAATAAATTCCAAATAACGATTATTGCATACCCCATTTATAATAAAAAACCCCAATCTACCTCGGTAAATCTAACTTGGTAGTCACAACGATAATTGGCAGGATAAATATACACAATTTTTTTTTCCATCTCTTCGACTACTGCCCACCTTGACACGTTTATCATGAATCGAAGGTAGTTGGTTCGGTATATGTGTGGACGGGATGCGTTAATCTTGAATTCCCGAGCGACGGGTACTGGGAGTGCACAGCCAGGGGTACACAGAGTCAACCACTTGTCAATTTCATGAAGCATCGTGATACAGCCTCCAATGCACCAATGCGGGGATAATAGATAATCCCCGGTCTACACCCATGCGTTTGAATGAAAGAATTATTCAATATCGCGGGATTATAAATTATGAATTAATTAAAATTGAGGGCTTAACGATGTTATTACCCAGACCCTCAGGTTATTATCGGTAAGTTATGAGTGGCGGTGGGGGGGGGGGGGGGGGGGGG